TGTCCTTTATGCAGACCAGGCGCCTCTGGGCTCACCGCTGCCCCCCTCAGGACACCGTACATCTTTTCCTGGGCATTACGCTGCCGTACTTTATGCAGAAGTTAGGTTGTTGTTGGACAGAATCTCTGGACTCGTTATAAATACTCTATGTATACGCCTAAAATTAAAAACATACATAAAAATGTCAGCGTTTTAGGAGATTCTGGGACGTCAGGCAGACGCTGGATAAATCAGCAAGGTGTGACAGGTGCTTTAGCCTCTGCTTTGCTAGTCACCACCATGACGGGTTATAATGACGATCAAACATGATTTCAGATTTCTATCATAACAGACCCGCTTGAATGACTTGATGGCAAAAAGAAACCAAGTTTGTTTCCAAATCAACAACTTTTCAGATACGATTTAATAGAGAAAATGACAGCAAGACATCCATGAAGCGGCTCGTCTGTCGAACTGAAACAGAGTTTACCTGTGAAACAGAGAATCGAGTTCTATGTCATCCCTACTGACCGCCAGAGGGCGGTGCTGAAAGCACTGAATGTTCCCTTCGGGGTGCGCAGTTCGAGTAATTATACCAACAGAGTCACACCTGTGACACCGGATGACCACTCAGAAGCTATATAGCCTGGTGTCATCCTTTGCTCTGCTCCTACAGAATCTTCTCCCAAGCGGTTTGCTAGCTTCCCCGTTGTTTAAAGCCCCTGTCTCTTGACTGGAGTTGCGGTTATTCTCCGCCCTCCCAGGGCTGCAACGGGTCGAATCTGAGGATTACGGAAGGTAAATTAGTTTGTTTGCTGGTGAAGCGGGCTAAACCTGACCAGGGCCTGTCCACAAGGGTGGAGCAGCTGTCAGCAGAGCTGGCAGAGATGAAGTCCTTGTTGCAGACACGTCAATCTGATGCCTCGCTCCCAGTGGTTGGGCTCTCTTCCCCACCAATGCCCGAACTGGTTGTAGAGGATGATGTCATCTCTCTGGCTGCTTCCGCTTCTCATTTTAGAGATGAGGAGGAGGCAGGGTCCTCTCAGGCCTCTGAGGCTGGTTCATTTTCATCTCAGAGTGCTGTTGGAGAGGCCGGTGACGGTTCCATGCGGGAGGTCATGTCTATGGCCCTGAAGCAGCTGCAGCTGGTATCCAGGTATCCAGCTCCGGGAGTGCTTTTTTCAGACGTGGAAGGTCTCCTACTCCCTTTTCTGTACCTCCATCAGAGGAGTACCTGAAGGAGTTACACGCCTGTTGGCAGGAACCGAGAGCGTTGTCGCATCTTTCCTCAGATGGTCGCGCGTTAGCTGCCATGCATGAGTCGTTGAAGGCCGGCCTGGACCGTATGCCAGCAATTGAACCCGCTGTTGCTTCACTGATTGTGTCACCAGATGAAGCCCTGCGTCCTGATGTCCAGTGCCCGCGGACTCAATGTCGGGTTACCGATGACCTCTTCTGTATGGCGTACAATGCAGGAGCGCATGCTGGCCGCCTTGGCAATTCCCTGGCGCACCTCATGTTTGCCCTCTCTGCATCTGTTCATGACTCTGGTGGTGCAAGTGCAGCAGTTGATTTTAGTGACGCAGCGCTGCAGGCCTTCGCGCTGTTTTCCAGAGAGCTTGGACGGGTCATGTCTTTCCTGGTCCAAGCTTGTAGACAGGTCTGGTTGGCACAGTCTCCTCTGACTGAAGCATGCCGTAGGGCCCTCAGGGGTGTCCCGGTTGTACCAGGGGAGCTGTTTGGATCAGCTGCCTTGGAAGTGCTGGAACGGACTGCTCAGGCACGTAAGACTCGGGGGCGCCGTTGGCAATTCCGGGTGCTCCCATTCGGGCTCTCCCTTTCCCCGAGGGTGTTTACTCGATGTGTGAAAGCGGCCCTCTCTCCTCTGCACGCCTCCGGGAGTCAGGATTCTGCCATACCTGGACGATTGGCTTCTTTGTGCTCCCTCTCGGGTAGCTGCGTCTCGGGATACGTCCCAGCTTCTACTTCAGGTGTCACTGTTATGCCTCAAAGTCAATTTGGCAAAGAGTTGTCTGGTTCCATCTCAGACAACCACCTTTCTTGGGATGCATCTGGACTCCACTACCATGATGGCCCGTCCATCTGTTCACAGGGTGGACGACAAACTCCAGCTTGTCCGTCGATTCAGACTGGGCAGGGAGTTTCCCTACATCATCTTCCTGCAAATGCTGGGCAAACTGACATCAGTCACCCGTGTCGTGCCCTTAGGGCTGCTCCTTCTGCGTCCTTTGCAGCGATGGCTCAACAGCTTTCGCCTGGATGCCAGGCTGCACAGGCATCGCAGGCTGATGGTGACCAGGAGGTGCCTCCATGCCCTAGCTCCTTGGCGAGACGGGACCCTTTTGTCCAGTGTTCCAATGGGGTTAGTAGTGTGTCGAAGTGAAGTGGTCACCACGGATGCCAGCCTCGTGGGCTGAGGTGCTGTGTGGCAACACAGAGCTGTTCGGGGTCTCTGGGACCCAAGGGAGTGCACCGAACACATAAATGTGCTGGAGCTGCGGGCTGTGCACATGGCCCTCAGCTGCCTTCTGCCCCACCTAGAGGGAAGGCATGTGTTGATTCGGACGGACAACACAGGTCAGCACGTCTCTTAAAGGTGTCGAGAGATTTCCTGGAATGGGCGTTTCCCGGTCCGTGTACCCTGCGCGCAGCGTATCTGCCAGGAAGGCAGAACCAGGTTGGGGACTCTCTATCCCGCCAGGCACCTGCTCCGGGAGAGTGGTCTCTTCACTGCCACGTAGTGAGCATAATCTGGAACCTCTTTGGGCAGGTAGAGGTAGATCTGTTCACCACAGAGGAGTCGACCCATTGCCCTCTATGGTATTCCCTAACCGGGATGGCAGGCGCACTGGGCCAGGATGCACTGGCTCATCCATGGCTGCAGGTTCTCCTGTATGCCTTTCCACCCCTCTCGCTGATTTGGCCGACTCTACGGAGGGTTCTCGAGCAGGGCCACAGAGTGTTGCTGGTAGCTCCGTTCTGGCCAGCGCGGCCGTGGTTCCCGCTGCTTTGGAGTCTGTGTCACAGTACTCCATGGCGTCTTCCAGCAAGGAGGGATCTGCTGTCTCAGTTGGGGGGACAGATATGGCACCCCAACCCTCAACGTCTCCAGCTGTGGGCATGGCCCCTGGGAGGCTGACTTGTTGTTCAGACACCGTGAGACACACCATATTGAGTGCTAGGGCGCCCTCCACTCGGCTGCAGTATGCTAACAGATGGCGCCTCTTTTCCCAGTGGTGCTCTGCACACATTGAGAACCCGGTTTCCTGCTCGGTGCCCACTATCTTGGAGTTCCTCCAGTTGCTCCTTGATAAGGGCTGCTCTCCTTTGACCCTTAAAGTGTATGTTGCAGCAATTTCATGTCTTCACTGATCTGTCGACAACCGTACAGTGGGGCGCCATGAACTGGTTTCACTTTTTTTGCGTGGTGCTCGTAGGTTATGCCAGCGTCTGGCCCCACGAGCCCCAGATTGGGATTTGCTGTTGGTTCTCACAGCTCTGTGCCACCCTCCATTCGAGCCTTTGGCACAAGCAGAACTCAGGTGGCTTTCCTGCAAGACTGCTTTCCCTAGGGCTCTCTGTCAGCCCTAGGTGTATCAGGTGGAATCCAGATGGCTCTGGTGTTACCCTGTGGCCTAATACTGCATTTGTGCTTAAGGTGTTGTCTCCTGCTCATCGTAACCAGCCATTGCGGCACCTGGCTCCGTTTCTCAGCCTCAGTCTGGTGCAACTGAGAATGAGTCTGAGTTGTTGTGCCCAGTAAGAGCGTTGGAGGCAAACATTGCAGCCACCGCCAATCTGAGACGCTCGGACCAGCTTTTCCTATGCTCCATGGTTAGGCTGTCCTCTTTCTAAACAGCGTCTGTCCCATTGGATTGTGAGTGTCATCTGCCACGCCTACGCTGCAGGTCACTGCTCCCTGCCAGTCGGTGTGAGAGCACATTCCACCAGGAGCGTCACCGCTTCCTGGGCTGCTTTGAGAGGGGTTCCTCTGGAAGGGTTAGGGTTAGGTACAGTGTCAATGTGGCTGCCCCTCACCCCCTGGGTCAGGTCCTTTTACAAGGTTCTGCTGGGCCTCCTCAGTGAGGTATTTGCTCAGGATTCCTTGTGACATCGTTGGCATTAGTCATTCAGTGCTTACAGCACCGCCCTCTGGAGGTCAGTAGGGATGAAATAGAACGAAAGTTACGAATGTAACTACGGTTCTATGAATCCCGGATGACCGCCAGAGCTTCTCTGTCACTCAGAATCCTTGCTTCTGATTCTGTAGGAGCAGAGCAAAGGATGATGTCAGGCTATATAGCCTCTGAGTGGTCATCCGGTGTCACAGGTGTGACTCTGTTGGTATAATTACTCAAACTGCGCACGCCGAAGGGAACATTCAGTGCTTTCAGCACCGCCCTCTGGCGGTCATCTGGGATTCATAGAACCGTAGTTACATACGTAACTTTCGTTTACCTGTGAAAGAGAGAATAGAGTTTACCTGTGATGTTCAGGAGGCGTGGCAGGAAGCGATTCCAGAAGGCACACATCTGGTTGCGCAAACCTTTGTGGATTTTTAGTGGTTCTGTGTTGATGGTTACGTGTTTCTGCTCGTTGACAGTAAACAGAGGCCAGCGTTTTCGACTGTCCAGCAGCCCGTCGTTAGGATTCCTAACATGAGGAGACAGACAGACAACAGGAAAACAGTCGGTAAGAAAAACAAACTGTTTACATTTGGACAGAGAATCGCAGCTGGTGCCTTCGCTCCAAACAGGCGTGGATCCGTTCATCCTGGTTCTTCTGTTTATGGGAAATTTCTATAGATTAGATATTTATAAAAGCATAGCAAATATTTTCTATGCAATTAAACATCAACATAAATTCTACTTTCCGGCTATTTTAAGGTTAGTGTGGAGGAAAAAGAGAAAGATAAGTCCTATTATTACAGGAACAAAGTTATCATAATAATAAGTCCAGGAGCGTGTCATTAAATCCTAGTTAAGTCAGAATATTACCAAAATAAAAGCATAAAATAACAGCAAAGTCCAACATTACAAGAATAAAACTGTACATTATAAGATAAGTCGTAAAAATACGAGATTAAAGCCGTATCAGAATAAAGTCGGAATAGTAGAGTCTGAGTTATGTTCATATTATCAAAATAAGGTAATAATATAAAGTCTATGAGAATCAAATGATAACATCATGAGATTAAAGTTGAAAAATTTGTATAATATTGTAATAACTGTAGGAGAATAAAGTAATATTATGACAGAAATGTGATATTAGGAGAATAAAGGCGGAGCCTACTTTAATGTGAAGAGGCTCAGTCGTCTCACCGAATTTTAAACTGATTTTAGGCTCAGTTTGGGTGAGATTGGTGGATAAATATTGAAATGTTTTTTATTTCATAATATTAGGGCTTTATTCTTATATTATGATGAATTTATTCTG